ATTCCAATTTTATACGAACATAGAAGTACCGAGATTAAAACAGAAAATTATCAGAAATATGCTCCATAAACAACGAGACTGAAATTTAATAAAATATTTTACAATTCATTCTTATGCTATAATATAAGATTGGCTGTCAAGTCAATTATGGATTTGGCAGCCAACCTTAAATTCTAAATCTCGTTGTATCTGAGTTTGTATAGCTATGGATTTGACAACCAATCTTAAATTTTAAATCTCTTTGTATCTGAGTTTGTATAGCTATGGATTTGACAGTTGATTTTTGTATCTCAACCTTGTTGTTTCTGGGTGTGTGTGTAGTAATTGACTTGACAGTTGATTTTTGTATCTCAACCTTGTTGTTTCTGGGTGTGTGTAGTAATTGACTTGACAGTTGATTTTTGTATCTCAACCTTGTTGTTTCTGGGTGTGTGTAGTAACTGACTTGACAGTTGATTTTTGTATTTCAACCTTGTTGTTTCTGGGTGTGTGTAGTAACTGACTTGACAGTTGATTTTTGTATCTCAACCTCGTTGTTTCTGGGTGTGTGTAACCAATCTTAAATTCTAAATCTCGTTGTATCTGAGTTTGTATAGCTACCAATCTTAATTTTAAATTTCTTTGTATCTAAGTTTGTATAGCTATGGATTTGGCAGCCAATCTTAAATTCTAAATCTCGTTGTATCTGAGTTTGTATAGCTATGGATTTGACAATTAAGATTGGCTGTTAAATCAATTACTCTATAAACTGAGATACAACAAGATTAAAATATCAGATTAACTGTCGAACCTGTTACTATACTAACATAAATTTTAATATTACTGTTAAACTTTTTAAACTATAATTTGTGTTTTCATCTTTAAAACTTTTAAACTCGATAAAAAAAAACAATTGGAAAGAAAAGAAAAAAAATGGAGTTTTATGTTATCGATAAAACAACAGAAAGTCTTGGTCTGGAAAGTTTCAATCGAAAGTTTCTTGACAACTATTAAAATTAGAGAGCAGCGTTAAATATGTTACTTTCACAGAAACTACCAAGAAAATTTAACATTAAATACTATTTTCCTTTGCGCAGTATAAACTTTAAGGAGTGACATTTGTGTAATTCCTATACTTTGTGTTCGAAAGTTTGGGTTTTTCTTACGTGTGTGTGTACTTCGGTTGTAGGAGGAGTTAATGCAATTCGGCTGTGATTTTAGGGCAAACTGTAGGAGGGAAAGTACTGGTATATTTGCAACTAGCAGAAACGCCGCGGCTGTTCGGTCAGGATCTTGGCGAGCTGAACGGTGTGCTTCTCTGTCACGAGATTACTCCCGACGCCTTCTCCCTGCATCTTGACGAGCAGTTTGATGTTCTTCTGTATTTCAGGTTTGTTCCTGGCTTCTTCTCACTGGACCTTGACGAGCAGTTTGATGTTCTTCTGTATTTCAGGTTTGTTCCTGGCTTCTTCTCACTGGATCTTGCCTCATAACTTGGTGATCAAGTCT